TCCTACCTGGCTCCTTTGGTCCACGAGCAGAGCCCATGCTCTGACACCTTTTGTCTGCGCTGCCTCATTCCCTCCCTGCGGAACTCCTCTCCCGGCTCCTGCGGCAGCCGCAGAGCCCTGAATGCCTTGTAAATGACATGTTAAATCCTCCCTTTTTCCCTTCCCGGTGGGAAGGGGACCAGCACCGCATGCAAAGTACAGCTGCGCCTCTCTTGTCCTTCCTAATATATTCCTTCCCACACCCCAGGATGTGTTACCCTACGAGGATTTTGCTGTTAAAGCTGCTGCCCCTTCCCCTCCCATCTGCTCGTGCTTATCTCCAGTATTTACCGTGGAGCTGTTTCCCAGAGGGGCCATATGGGATCCGTAGGTATCCACCCTGATTCCAATGAAGCTCCTGTGTCAGGGCCAGGGGGTAAAAAGTAATTCATTCCCAAAAGTAGAAAAAACCCCAACAGAACAAATAAAATCAATTAATCTTGCAGCGATGGAGGTGATTCCCAGGAGCGTGGCAGATTAAAACCACCGGGTTTCACGATGTGAGCTTGTGGAAGATGATTTTTAGGGAGAAGGCACTTTGATTCCACTCCTTTGATTGTTACTTGTTTCTGAACTATCCAGGATATTCCCATCCCTGCGGATTGTAATTCACGAATCCAATTCCACCCCTGCAAAAAGGAGGGTTTTTCTTCGCTGTGGATGCCTCGGCCTTTGCTGACACAATGCCAAGTGCTTTAGTGATGCTTTGGAGTCATAAAGGCCCATCAGTGCGAGGGGCCAGCCAGGGTTAACAGGAGCAGATGTTGGGCCCAGTCAATGGCCGGGGAAGAAAAGAATCGGACAGGTCCCTTCAGCTCCAGGATAAATTCCACCTCCTCAATGCCTGGCCCTGCCCAAAGCAGCTGGGGGGAATAATGGATGAGCTGAGCCAGGTGCCACTTTTCTCTGAAGAAATGCGAGAGCCAGAGTCTGAAAAGGATTCCTAAGGCAGAGGCTCCGTCCCTGTGACAGGAATGGGGACAGGCAGCCTGGATCCAGAGGCAGGGCTGTTCTCCAGGTCACCCCTCTGCCATGACAGCACTCCTTTCTCCAGGAAAACTCAGGGAAAACTGGTGTCTTTTGGATATTCCCATCTCCTTTAGTTCGGCAGGGTTGGGAGAAGCGCTGCCGGTGAATCCACATCCCCCAGGTGTTCAGAAACCCTCTGGTCTGGGACTCCCTCAGGCTGCAGACGGAGTAGTCTGGGTTGTACTGCAGGGAGAAAGCACCAGGGAAGAGATGGGGAAAATATATATGGATTTAGATCCTGAGGATGTGGTGAAATGGCTGAGCTGCCTTTAAAAGATTCCAGCAAAAACACGGAACAGCATCAGCGCATCTCCCTCCTTCACCTTCTCCTTCCACTGGTTGCCTTAAGCCAGACCTCCAGGCTGGGGTGATCCTCACCTCGGGGTGTTCCTTGTCCCAGAAGATTTCAGAGGAGACTGGCACAGAAAAGTGTAAGATAGATAGAGAAAACTGACAGAAACAGCAATGCTGTTTATTCTTTCCCACTCCAAATATTTTTGCCCGTTTGTGTTCATACAAACAAATACATCCCCAGTGCATGGAACAAGTGTGAGAAATGCAGGAGGAAATGGCTGGGAATTACCACTGGCAGCCCCAGAGCGAGGACACAGCTCACAGAGCTGCGCTGCAGAGGCTGGCAGAGCGAGGGAAGAGCCAGGCTGACATTTCTGCTGGAAGAAAAGCAGGATCACCGAGCACGAGGCCGGAGGGGCCCGGGGAGGTCGTTTGGAAAAATCCACTGGGCTCAACCTTTGCTGCCAGATGTCTGCCCACCCTGCTCCCAGAACGCCCCCCTGACGGCGGCTCCACAACGTCCCCTGGCACTGCTTTGCAGCCCCTCGGTGTCCCCACCCTGCTCTCAGCCAGGCCTCCCCCCCTGGCTTTATCCAGGGGGTTTCTGCTGGCTGCTCGTGGCTGTGGGGATAATTTCCTGCCTTTGGGAAACGAGGAGAGAAGCAAAACGGTTCGGATTCAATTCTCAGCTCACCTTTAAAATTCACTTTACCGTTGAAGCAAAATGCCGCTGGCTCTCCACGAGGGATCTCCAGGCCTTTTCCAGCAGAGACTGGAGAATCCCTGGGAATGTCCTGAAACCAGCAGGGATCTGGCAGCAAAGCTGGCTCAGCAGGGAACCAGTGAGGTCCTGAGGGTGGCTGGGAGCAAAGTGGGATCAGAGCAGGCAGGGAAAGCGCTGTCCCCTCTTCCAGATCCAGGTGTTTGGCTCCCTAACCCCAGGGATCTCTGCCAGATCCTCAGTGCCAGCAGCTCCTCACCCTCTCCAGGCTCTCCTCCTTCTCCTCGTTTTTCCCCATCCTGCTGTTCCTCTTGCTCCTCTGACCATTCCTTCTGCAACACTTCCTTCTCCTTCCCAACTCCTGCTCACAGAGCTCTCCCACAGCTCCTCTTTCTCTGCCCTCTCCTATTGCCACCGATCCCACGTACAACATTCCGCAGCCTGAGGACAACACAGACAACACAGACCACTCCAGAGATTCCCTTCTCCACCCCACATCCGTATTCCAGGCCTGGACCACCGTGCAGAGCTGGAGTTCTGAACCCACAAAAGAACCTCCACATTTTCTCCCAAATCCTCTCTGAAATCTCCTCTTTTCCAATGTCTGCACAAAACCCCTGCAGGTTTGACTGGTCTGGTGCTCACCCCTCAGTCTGCCATGGCAGCCAGTGTTGTCTCACTGCTGCTTTGTGTCCTCCACCCACCAGACTGTCCCATCTGCCGTCTCTTCCCTCCGTGTGGAATTCTCAGCTCTAAACAAGGACCGTATTTTCACGCCGAGTTTCTGTAGTTCCCAGGAAAAGGCGACCGAGCCTCTGGGGAGCTCCTGCAGGATGGCTCTGGGTGCCTTCAGTAAATGTGCACATAGATTAAATCAGAGTCCTGCAGTGGGTTGGGTGGGAGGGAACCCTGAGGATCACCCAGTCCCACCCCCTGCCACGGGCAGGGACACTTTCTGCTTGCTCCAGCCTGGCCTTGGACACTTCCAGGGGTGGGACAGCCCACATCCACATGGCTTTTAAATCTCTCCAGGGACGGGGACTCCACCCCTGCCCTGGGCAGGGATAACCATTTCCGTGAAGAAATTTTCCCCAATATCCAACCTAAACCTGCCCTGGCACAACGTGCAGCCGTTTCCTCTTGTTTCCTCTTGTCCTGTCCCCTGTTACCTGGGAGAAGAATTTGATCCCAGCCTGGCTGCACCCTCCTGGCAGGGGGTTGCAGAGTCTTTCAGACATTGGTCCTTCCTCTCCTTTGGTCTCCAGGTCTCCACACTTCCCACTGCTGTCTTTCCTGGGTCTCTCACCTTCCTCCTTGGTCCCTGAACCTTCTCCCACGGGTTCCATCTTTCCTTACAGGACATGCTCCCAACAGGACCTGCTGCTCTAAACCCTAATCAGTCCGTCCCTTGTGCTGCCCAACAGGCCTGGGGTGGCTTTGGCTGGTTTCCACCCAGCAGGTGTCAGGTGGCTCAGGTGTTGTTCTGAGTGGCACAGGGTGACGTGCAGAGTGCTCTGGGCAGTCTGAGGGCACTGTTTAAATTGCTGTTGTTGCAGTTGCCGCTCCCAGCGCCAGCACAGCACCTTATTTATTGTGGGGGCATCTGCTTGCAGTTGGCATCTTTAGAGGCTGGGGTTTTTTAAAGACTGGTTTTAAAACAAACCAGTGAACCCCCTGAATACCTCCTTTGCCAGCTGCCTTCCTCCTTCCCTGGGTCTGGACCAACGCTCCCTTCTCCTTCTCCTCCTGCTGATGGAGCCTTTTCTTCTTCCTCTTAATGATTCCTGCCTATTTCCATCTCAATTTGGCCTTTCTGATGTCTCCCCACATGCTTACGCTCCCCTTGGAACTGTCCTTAGTAATTTGACCCAGTTCCCACTTTCCATAACCCTTTTTTCTCGAGCCTGAGGTCAGTGAGGCGCTCGCTCCGCAGCCAAGCTGGTTCCTGCCGTATTTCCTATTGGGATGACCCTGTGTGTGCTGTTTGCAGCTTCCTTTGAAGCCCTGCCAGTTTCCTTAACTCCTTTCACTTCCAAACGTGCCTCCCATGAGGTCCCAGTGCCCACTTCTCCGAGTGCCTCGGCGTCCCTTGTCTTTATTTCTCCCCTTTCTTCCACGTCCTTCTGCGAGGGGTGTGAACTTGCTCGTTCTCCGCTCGGTCTCAGCCAGTTTTTCCCCTGCCCTATGTTCCAAAGCAGTCTCTGGTGGCTGGTTGCCATCGCTGCCAGTGCCCCGCTGTCCTCCTGTCCCAGCAGGACCAGTTTGCCCTGTGCTGTGCTGGCCAGTGACACGGGGAGCTGCCGTGGCTGAGGCCATCCCAGTGCGTGCCCAGCTCGTCGTTCCCACACCGGGCATTTTACAGTTTATGAAGATTAAGGAGGATTTTGCTTTTCTCCTCCCTTTAAATCCAACACAGAGTCAGTTTAATACTGGAATCACTCCCAGTTCCAGCCAGACTGAGAGTAATGGAGTAATTGGTATTTCCCATCACTGCATACTGAGATCCTGGTGCTTTCTGGCTGCACAAACACCAGTGAAGGACTCCTACAAGCCAGGAGACAGCTCAGTGATGGTGGGAACACCTGGATGTCACCAGAGATGCTCTCACAGTGACATTCAGGACATATCTCCTCCCAAACCTGCCGTTGGGTCACTGGGAACATCCCAGAGCTCCCCAAGTTGAGGGTGGGCAGAGCACTCCCAGGGGTGTCCAAAAGGGTTTGGGAACAGTCACCCATTTCCCTGTGGGCTGGAGGTGGGACAGCAAGGTGGGATTCATCCACCATGTGTAGATGTGTGTGACTGGAGCATGTCTGGGCTGCAGCCACAGGCAGAGGGAGCTGGACTGTGCTGTGGTGGAGGACATGGGACAGGAGAACCAACCAAAGGGAAAGGAGACAGCCAGCCCCATCTTCCAAATGCTCCTCAAAGGAAAGGCTGTGGGACCACAGGGGTGTTTAGAAGGGCACAAGGGGCAGACGTGGCATTGCCAGCTCCAGGCAGCTCAGTGAGGGATGGACAAACCTGGGATCCCAGAGGAGCAGCGTCCTGCACCGAGGGCACTGAGCACAGGCTGACAGGGACCGTGGCACCGCTGCTCCCAGCCCTCCTCCCCTCCTGCTGCTCCTGACCTGGGCCTGGCTGGGGAACTGGACTCCTGGCTGTTGGATCAGGACTCAGCTGATGAGACGGAAGGGTTGGTCGGTCAGTCTGGACTCAGCTGGTGAATCAGGACTCGGTCGTGAATCGGGACTCGGTCGTGAATCGGGACTCGGTCGGTGAATCAGGACTCGGTCGTGAATCGGGACTCGGCTGTGAATCGCAGCTCCATCTATTTTGTTCCGGGCAGCTGGAGCTCATCAAGGGAAGAAAGGCTTCTTGTCTGGGGTTGTGGCTCTGGTCCTGTTGTGTGTCTGCAAGAGAAAAGAGGATGGCGGGGTGAGGAGGGCCGATGCCAACTCCCTTCCCGTGTCCCGTGCCAGCCCTTTTGGGCCACAATGGTCCCTGTGCCCCCCCAGCAAACCAGCCAAGCATTGAAATTTAATGGCTGTGCCGGGCTGGGCCAGCCCGGGCTGATTAGGCCTGGGATTAAAGCCCATGTGCTGCTTTGCTGGCTGGGAGGCAAATTCCTCCCCAGGGCCTGTGGAATCGCCTCGGGTGCCCTGCACAGCAACAGCCCCTGCTCCTCTCTGCCCTGCTCTCTCTGCTGATGTGGTCCCTGGGGGAATCCCTCCAAACCACACTCCTCTCTCCATCTGGGAAAGCCAGAGTGGGATGAGGGCCCGTGGGCTGGGAACGGGCCGTCACCTCCGAGGGAAACTGAGGCACAGCGAGGGACACTGACCCCAGAGCCACGGGGGGCTCCAGGGCTCGTGGCCCCTGGGGTGACACAGGGAACAGAGGCTGTGCCTTCCCACGGCAAACAGGAGCACTCAGAGCAGGTGAGTTGGGTCCAATGGAGCGGGAACAGCTGGGGGGAATTGTGGGGGTGACAGAGCGGGGGACAGGGGGACAAATCCCCCCGGTGCTCCTGCCACAGGAGCATCCCTAGACCTGCTTAAATCCTTGTGACCCAGCTTTGTCCTGAATCCCAGTGAGCCCCTGCAGCTCGTGGGGGTGAGTGGCTGCAGCTGGGCATGGCTCTGGTCCCTGGGTTCCTCCACAGGTCATCCCGAAATGAGGGGCTGCACCAAGGAGTCACCACCCGGCTCTGCAGAGGGGCTGGTCCCACCACTGCCCACCCTGGCCGGGCGGGGGCAACTTGGAAGGGGCAAAAGCGGGTGGAAGGGAAGGTGGGCACCACTCCAAGGTGGGCACCTCTGTGTGGAGCCAGGAAAGGTCTGGGATGGAGGGGCTGTGCTGGGATGGAAGGGCTGTGCTGGGATGGAGGGGTGGTGATGTGTCACCCTCACCTCCAGGGTGTCACCCTCACCTCCAGGGTGTCACCCTCACCTCCCAGGTGGCACTGTCCGTGATGGAGGGGCTGTGCTGTGCCAGTCTCACCTGCCAGGTGACACCATCCACGATGGCTCTCTCTCTCCAGGCAGTGTCCAGCTGGACCCACAGGCACCACGAGGCAGGATGGCAGTGAGGAGCAGACAGTTTCCAGATCCCACCAACCATGTTCCACGGTTGTACCCGTTCCCTGGCTGCCCCATCCCGCCTCTCCCTGCACCCCACCCTGCCAACCCCTCCGAGGGCAGCTGGAGGTGAGGGGTGCCCTCCCCTTCCATCTCCTTCCCTGCATCCCCACAGGTCATTCCCAGATTCCTGATCCCCTCCAACACCCCCATCCCCACATATCCATAACCATTTCTTCTCCTCTCGCTCCTCAGCACAGATCCTCTCTCTCCCTGCTGCCACAGCGATGCTCATCCCCCTCGAGCTCCCTTTCCCTCCCTCCTATTCCCACGGGAAGCTCGTGCCCAACCTCTGCCAGGATATCCCACCTTTCCAAGGCATTTCCTTGGACATCGGCATCTCCCCTCTGCTCAGCCAAGCTCGAGCTCCACCAACACATCACTCACCCCACCCTCTTTCAGTGCTGTGTCCATCCTTCCCGGAGCTTTATTCGTGGTTTTACCTGTCCTGCAGCTCCGTGCTGGGAGGGGAATGGCAAAGACCAAATCCCGACGGTGCCGCTCGCTCCGCTCTCCGTGACTGCTGGGACTGACTGCCGGCTCCCACCACCACTGCTCATCTTTTAATCTCCCCGAGCGAGCTGAGAATTAATTATTTAGCAGCTCACAGGACACATGGGGAACATCCAATCCATGCGGAGCGGCAGCTTTGGCTCCCACCTGCCCCGGGAGAGGGCTGGGAGAGCACCGGGAGAGCTGTGGCTGCATCCCTGCCGTGGCACACACTTCGTATTGGAAGGTGATTAATGGTACAGGTGCTCTCCCCCAGGAACCAGGAGAGCTGGCTCGTGGCTCAGTCCATCTCCAGAAGAAAGCGGTTCCTGTGGGAAGCAAATCGGAGCCGCAGCCGGAGGGGAGGGCGGTGGGAATGCCGGGGGTCCCTGGGGAGAGATCCCTGCTCCGTGCCCAGTGCCAGGGGGGTGGTGATGGGACCGACCCAACCTTGCCAGAGCCACCGGGACAGTGGTGCCAGTTCTTCTCCAAGGGGATGGAAACAGGGAGGTGGGGGGGACAACCCTGGGGGTTTCACCCAAAGTCCCGCTGACACCCTGGGCAGCTGCTGGGGCAGGAGTGGCCAGGAGCTGTCACCCCGTGTGCACCTACATGGCTGGGGGGACCCATGGCGGGGACAGAGGTGGGGATGGAGCAGACCCTGGAGCATCCCAAACACCTTCACCAGACATCCCAGGGCGTCCCATCTGCTCTGGAGCATGTCTGGAATGGCAGCAGGATGTGCTGCACCCCTGGCCTGGCAGAGCTGGGAAGGTGCCTGGAGAGGGTGAGGAGGGGGGACCGAGCACCCACCACCCCCTGGGTGACAGCCAGACGGGACCCTGTGGAAGCAGGGACCGAATCCCACCGTGTCCATGGCGGGAGATCGCAGGCACTGGCAAGAGGCTTAACTTTAAAAAAAAAAAAAATGGTTTATTTATTTCAAGATCTTCCTTTTTTTTTTTCCCCTTTTTTTGTTGTTTTTACCTGTATTTCAAAAAAAGTGGGGCAAAAGTACAAAAAAAGTCAGTTGCGGGGACGGCAAAGGTTTAGAAATCACAGCGCGGAACGAACCCAAGCGAGAAACACGGAGCACGGACCAAACACCCCCACGACACGGCCGAATTAGTACCGGGATTTTTGTTTTCCTCTGTACAAAACACACCAAAGCATGCCACGGGAAAAGAGACAGCGGGAGGGCACGGCTGGGGCTGCAGGGGGGGAACCTGGCTCCCCTCCCCTCCCCTCCCCTCCTCCTGCTCGCCCTCAGGTCAGGTTGTTCTGGAGGCAGTTGAGCTCCCCCCCGTCCTGCTCCCCTTTGCCGCCGTCGTGCTTGGGCGACGTCGAGTTGTGGATGTTAAAGGGCTCCTCGTCCTTCAGGCAGGATTTCAGCGAGTCCTGCAGCTTGTGGGGAGCGCTGGGATCATCCTGTGGGAGAGACGGGGGTCAGGGGGTGATGGGGACGTAGGGGTGACCCACAGCAGGGACCGGGTGAGGGCACAGATGTACCACCGACCCCGACGCGGGCGCTGCCCTTGCAGAGAGACACCGGAGGGGACAAATGTCCCCCCACTCAGAGGGCACCTCGGCACAGGGGACCCAGTGAGCGAGAGGGTCCGTCCCACTTGCGGTGACACGTAGCCATCCCCCGCCACGGCTCCCCCGCCCTGGGATGCTCCAGCTCCCGGAGCTGCTCGCCAGCAGCCCCCAAAGGCTGTGCCAGCCACAGGAGCTCGTGCCAGCCACAAGAACCATCCCACCCAGCCGCCCTACCCGCCGTCCCCGCCCAGTCCCATTCCCAGCTCGGCTCATCTCATGGACAATTAGCAACTCCCGGCTCGGCAGGAGGCGAGAGGGGCTGGATTTATTGTGGATCCTCAGTGTACAGCTGGTCCCACCGTGCCACTCGCAAAGCCGGGGACGCTCTTCCCAAGCTCCCCCCACAGGAGCATCTTCCCCTCCCTGGGACTGGGCTGTGCCCCGAGCTTGTCCCACATCCGCGGGGGAGCGGCCCCTCCGGCAGCGCGGCTGAGCTCTGGCTGTGCTGGGTGACGGCTGTGCCCCGAGGGTCCCGGTGGCACCGTTGGCACTGGTGGGGCAGGATGAGCCCTGGCATGGGGGGCTGCCTGGGCAGGATGGGCCGGGGTGGTCATGGTGTTCCTGGTGCCACGTGGAGAGCGATGGGTGGACAGGGACACCGGGGTGGTGTCCCACGAGGACAGGAACCTCCATCCTGGGCAGCGACGTCCGGCCAGTCTGGGGCTGGTGCCATCAGCTCCCCGAGGGATGGGCATCACCGTGGGGTCCCAAAAACCCCTTTCCCAGGGATGTTGCCCCTTGTGACCCCTCTGCATCCTCAGTGCGCTGCACCATGTGCCGAGCCCTCCACACCCCGGAGGGACGAGTAAGACCCCGGTGAGCGGCACCGGATCCATCCCAAGGTTCATCCTGTCGGCAGTGGGAGCCGGCCCCGGGAGCCTCCTGCCAAGGCAGCTACGGCTGCTAAAGGCGCTGGAAGACGGGAACACCGTGGGTAGAGGGTGGCTTAGAGGGACCTACGCTCCTCCTCCGGCTCCGCAAAGCCCTTCGCTTCTCTCTGTTCCGAGTCGAAAGACAGGAGGTCGGAAGGGCATCCCGGGGGCTGCCGGCGGCTGCATCCCGACCACAGCGGCAGCATCCCGGAGCGCGTCACCCTCCAGCATCGCCCGCCGCCGCCGGAGCCATCCGCTGCTCCTGCCGGCGATGCCGCAGCCGGGGAGTGTCTGCTGCCGGAGCCGCCCTGGAAACTCCGGCCCTGCCGCCCGCACGTGGGGCCGAAGCCATCGGGAACTCTGCGGGGTGGTCACTGGGGACCCGACAGCGAGGGGACAGAGCAGTGGTCTGGGCGAGATGGGGACAGGGGGGCAGCGCTGGGGTCAGGGAGGGGGGACGGGCGAGACGTTACCGGGCAGAGGGACGAGGGTGGGGCAGGAAGCGGGACGGGGGCCGGTGCCACGCAGCTCCTTACGTTTGGGTGGGAGCCCTCGGCGATGGTGGACAGGGAGAAGTTGTCGTTGTGCAGCTCGGACGGGGTGCGGTATCTGCGGGGGGACAGAGGGGCACGGGGTGAGAGTGGGGACCCCCCAGCATCCCCGGCCACATTTCAGGGTGGCCCCGGTTTTGGGAGGGTAACCGGTCCCAGTGCTGGAGGTCTGGGGGGTAAATGGCCCCAGGGAGGGAGGTTTGGAACTAAATACCCCCAGAGCTGGGGGCGTTAGGGGGCTAAATGCCTCCATCTGTATGAATTTAGGGGCTAAATGTCCCACAGATGGAGATCTGGGGGCTAAATGCCTCAAAACAAGGGGGTTTGTGGAGGTCAATGCATCCAGATCTAAGGTTTGGGAGTTAAATGTCCCCAGCTGTGGATGTTTGGGGCTAAAAGTCCCCAGTTCTGGAGGGTATCCATGGAGACCCTGGATGGATCTCCATCCCCCAGGGATGGAGACCTTGGTCTAAATGAGCCCTGTGTGACATTTTGGGGGACTCAGAGCCCCCATCTCCGGGGTTTTGGGGTGACCCCCCGCTCTGGGCAGGGAGCGGGAAGGGCAGCCCGGGGCAGCGGGAGCCGCCGCTCCCAGGGCCGGAGAGGGAGATCCAGGGGCTGGCACGGAGCTTCCCTGCTAATTACACTTGGCACTTCCAAACACTAATTAACAGCTCATTAGGGACCGGGCTGGGAGGGCTCCCTCCTCCTTGTTCCAGGAGCGGGGCAGCAGTGGCCGCGGCGGGGGTGTGACCCCAACCATTCCCTGTCCCCCCAGCCGTGTCCCCGGCCGGGCCATCTCCCGGCGAGCCCAGCCGGTGTCCCCAGCTCCCAGTGCAGCAGATTAACTGGTGCCAGTCAGGAGCAGCTTTAAAGGATTAACCGTGGAGCAGGAGCCACATCCATGGCCCCGCCGCACTCCCGCCCTCGGGAGCTTTCCCACCCACGCGTCACCGTGTCCCCTCCGGCACTAGGGGTCCCGGTGACACCAAAGGATGGGACCACATCCCGCCGGGAGCTGACCACCCCCCGCTGCGGCTGTCGGGGTGTTTGGGGACAGGTTGGGGGGTGCCAGCACCGTCCCCACAGGGACAGAGCATCACACTCAACCCTGGTGCTACCGCCGGGAGCTGAGCCCACCCCCCGCCGCGGCTGTTTGGGGACAGTCTGGGGACATTTTGAGGGGTGCCAGCACTGTCCCCGCAGGGACGGGATCGCACCCAGCCGCGGTGCAATGCCGGGAGCTGAGCCCACCCCCCGCCGGGGCTGTTTGGGGACACCTCGGGGGCAGTGGGGGGGTGGCAGCGCTGTCCCCGCGCCACTCACTTGGTCTTGCGCAGTTTGCTGTTCTCCGTCTTGAGCAGGTAGAGCTTCTTGGCGAAGAACACGGTGAGCATGAAGAGCAGCAGCACCACGAGCGCGGCCGAGCCCACGGCCACGCACATCACCTGGAAGTCGGTGACGATGGACTCGCAGCGCGTGCCCTTGTGCCACGTGTAGTCCTGCGTGTTGCACCTGCCGGGGCACGCCGTCAGGGACCCCCGCCCCAAAACGTGTCCTCCCCATCCCACTGAGCGTCCTCGGGGCAGTGGTGTCTGCAATCGGGGGGATTGCGGGTGTCTTGAGGGGGAGGAGATCAATGGGTCCTCGAGGGGGACCTTGGAGCTGAGGGCTTGGGAGGGCTAAATGTCCCCAGGGATAGAGGTTTGGGGGCTAAATGTCCCCAGGGATGGAGGTTTGACACCACAACACCGGGGCGGAGTGAGATGGGGACACTGGGGGCCAGCGCGGTCGGGGTCCCCCGCTGATGCTGGTCCCCCTCGCCGGGGGCTCCCAGGGTCGGGAGCAGTGGGAGCAGGGCTGGGGGGACCCCCGGGGGGCCGGGCTCGGTGCCAGGCGCGGGGCACGTCCCGATCCGTGCGGCACAGCCGGCACCGGCCTCCCCGGCGCATCTGCCGGGGCCGATTAGCGCGGCCGCCCCGGAGCCGCGGCTGCACAGCCCTGACCTAATTCCTGCCCAGCCGCCGCTCGGGGGGTAGGGAAACCCCTCCGCATCCCGGCGGGGTCGAGATGCAGGGCCGGAGGGACCTGGGTGAGGGGCAGGGAGGGGAGAGCCTGGGAATGGGGTACAGGGGGAGGGAGAGCTCAGGGATGGGGTGCACGGAGAGTGGAGATAGCGGGGATGGGGTTCACAAGGGATGGAAAGACTGCAAATGAGATGCACAGAGATGGAGAACCCAGGAACGGGTTACACGGGGATGGGAAGATTGAGAATGGGGTAGAGTGGATGGAAAGCCCAGGGAGGAGATGCCCAGGGATGGAGAGCCCCGGGATGGGATACGAGGGATGGAGAGCCTAGGGATGGGGTGCCCAGGGATGACGAGTCCCCCACATGCCCCCTCAGGGCCCCGGGTCCCCGTCCTTACCGGCAGAAGGCTCCGTGGCTCTCCACCAGGTAGCACTGGCCGCCGTTGTGGCAGTAGCTGGGCACGAGGTCGCAGAGGGAGCGGCAGGAGCTGTTGTGCCGCACGTACCCGCTCCGGCACTCGGAGCCGTTGTCGGGCTGGCCCCGCTCCCCGGGCCGTGGCCAGGCCGTGGGGCTGCCCCCGGCCACGCCCGACGGCAGCGGGGCCGCGTCCCTGCGCCCGGTGGGCCGGGGGTCCCGCGGGGCCGGCGCGGCGCCGGGCACGGCCGAGGCGGGCGGCCGATAGCCGTTCTCATCCTCCAGCTCCCTGTCTTCCTCCTCCTCCTCTTCCTCCTCGTCCTCCAGCCCGTCCTCGTCGTCTCCGTCGGCGTAGAAGGAGGTGGTGGGGTAGAAATCGGCGTCGTCGAAGGGCGTGAAGTCGTCGTAGAGCTCGTGGAGGGCCCAGGGCGTGGCCGCCCCCTCGGGTTCCCTCCGCCGCGCCGACCCGGCCGCCTCCCGGCCGGCCCCGGGGAAGCCCCCCAGTCCCTCGCCCCCCTCGAACAGGTCGTAGTAGTCGACGTCGATGATGTCGGAGCCCGCCCGGCCGGGCGAAGGTTTGGCCGGGCCCGTGGCCGCCGTGATGGGCTCCTGCAGCCACGTCAGATCCGTCCAGCCGCGAGCCCCCTGCGCCGGGGCCGGGCTGGACGGGCCCCCCCAGAGCTCCGGGGGACCCCCCGAGTCCCCCCCGGCAGCGGGCACGGGGCTGGGCTGGCCCAGCACGGGGCTCTGTGGCGCGGCCGAGCCCCCGGCCGCCGGCAGCAGCTCAGATTCGGCCGAGCCGGTGGCGAGCTGAGGGTCGGGGGGGCTGGGCGGGGCGGCCGGGAGACCCCCGATGCCCCCCGGGCTGGGCAGGGAGGCCACCGTGGGCCGCTCTCCGCTCCCCGGCTCCTCGGGGCTGCCCAGGGCCACGGGCACCGTCCCCCCGGCCCCGGGCCAGGTCACGGCCACGCCGGCCCCGGGGGG